GTGGCTATACAACAGATTTCTCATATGACTTGGTCCCCCTGCTTTGTTGCATATGACATTAATTTTGTAGCTTATTTACATAGTTCTTCAATATCTCAGTGATTTTCAAACGTATTGAAATAGATTTTCAATAACAACATTGAATCCATTTTCTCTCATTTTTTTAGAAAATACTAGGTTGATGGATGGATGGATAGTTCATTATTCACATATTGATTTATAAGTTAATGTTGCACATCAATTTGTCTCGTTATTATGTTTACAAAGTATTTTCTAAAGAATCCTGGTTAAATGATTTAGTTGGCAAATATTTTAAATTCCTTCACATCAGCAGAATATGAATATTTACGAAACCATTTATTGTTGTAATAAAATTATGTAGTATTGATGGTTCCTCAATCATTTCGTCTCTTTATTTTACAAATATCATACTTTGTAAAACATCTTTTGCTTCATACCATAGTTGTAAATGTGTTTATTAAATTTTGACATATTTTTTTTAAATTGTTATCCTTACTATTTACTATGCCTTCATTCAAACTGTCAAATAATGTACTCAAAAAGTTGCATAGTAATGCTGAAGATAACTGTTCCCCATTGGAACAACATATGTTTAACTATAACATAATTTGCATCAGTTCCTCTTACTGTCAGACTTTGAATTTTTTTCTGAGATATATGTCTTGCAGTATATATTTTCATTGATCTTATTTTCCTCAGTGCATCAATATAATTTTGTTTTAATAAATTATTTCTCATACATTTTATGAGATTGCATATATCATGTATGGAACAATTTCACATTTTCCAATTCTTATTATATTTTCCTCAGGTTCATTATTTTCTTCTGTGTATATTCTATTAGAATTTTTTAGTAGTCTTTAAATTGCAGCACAATTTGTTGAGTCTTCATGCAGCAACCACATATCGTATATCTGCTATCCTTTTTACTACTTCTTTCATATATCTTACTAATGTAGCAGATTTTGTTGAGCCTTTAGTACAAATATAACTTGCAGGAACACACCTTGTAACTACTCATCACCATAACGACCTGATCTGTCATTATATCTGATCTTTTGAATCCATCATCCTAAAATCCATTTAGCATATCTGCCTGAATAAAAGAAGCCTTTTATTAATATACTGTTTCAGTGTATCAATTATATATTATCATTTGTACCAGGACTTAGAAATATTTGATAAATATTTATAGCATGATTTACTTTGCTTAAAAATATTGAGGGCTAAAACTTTATCTTCTAAGGAATACTTTTTTTTACCAGCATTCCACAATTGACTTTCAAAGAAATCTTGAACATTTCAGTTGAACTTTTTAAAATATGTAAATTCTTGGCATTCTGCTTTATATTTTTTATTTATTTTTCTAAATAATATAGTCTACTCTGCATTTTCTTCCTGCTATGTATATTATTTCTAAAAGCAGATTATTTCTTGTTTACTTTTAGCATTTACAGGATTATATACATCTTCTATATGCAAACTTTTAACATTTACAGTATCCTTTGGTATCCTTGTTATTAACAACCACTTCTTGTAAATTTTCTATATGAAAATTTATATTGTTTGAAATAATTGTATTAATATCTTCAGCATTGGAAAATCATAATTGAAGAAATTCTGTAATTTTCAGATTACATACCCTCTTTCTTTTTCTTATGTACTGATAATCCATATTTTTCATTGAGAATCAATCGTTGGAAATTTCCTCATAACTATACTGCAGTAATCTTTAGTTTTACATCCATGGACGCTACACATGTAAACCATCCTAATAAAAATTATACATTAATTACAGAGAATAATTTGAAGGAATATTACTTACTTCCTTGTCTGACGCGGAAAATTCTACAAAGTATTCGACGTTAAACACTCATTGCTAACAGAAAAAAACATTCTAGACGAAATATGATCCAATGTTATTGAAAAAAACAAAAGATTTCAAACGCCATTACCATAGAAGTCATAACCAACTGTTTTAAAGCAGCCGCCTATAATTACATACCCATAACCCAAATTTCCATAACTACCTCTAAAGCGTAAAGCGAGTTATGCAACACATCTCACTCAATTGTAGAACAAAATGATCGATGCCTGCTTAATATATATTTTATCTTCAAAATGTGTTTTAAGCAGGCAATAAACGTATTCTATTAGTCTCTATTTTCTGCAAACAAAATCATTAATTTATACAATGCAAAATAAAACTAAATATATTTGTTTTATAAATAATAAGTTTTTATTTCAGTTCTTTGTTAATAAAATATATTCTAATATAATAATTAAAATATGTTATTCATCATTTTCTTCTTGAGCTAACATATACTGCTTATTCCAATCCTTTGGTTCCTTATTGTACATTTTGGCAACAAACTTTAAAATGTCCATTTTTTTCACAGAAACACTAGCCCTGGAACCCCAACTATATAATTTGTGTTCATGATTATTCAATTCAAGTGTTAACAATTTGCTCTTTATCATGCTTTTGTTGATATATTCATTAACATCCCCAAACAACTTATGCTTTTTATTGTAGCTTATTTTCAATGACCCAAGAAAGTCGACCAATGAATTTTCATTGCACACACCATCCATCATAAATATATGAGACAATATCAATATATCCAATATTGGGAACTTGTCACAGGTGTCTTTATCATCAAGTACTTTATTGTAAGGTATACTGCTGGTGACTGTGAATAGTTTTGTAGATGAGGATGACTCGGCCAGTTCTAGATGATAGCCATATACTTGTTTCAGAATCGTTTCAGCACGTTCGAAAATTTCATTGAAGTGCTTTGATGAATTTGGTAAAATATTTTTGATGAGTTCTTGCCTTGTGATATTGGGATTTGTGCCTGCCCTGAATAGAATATATCGTACACACTTGTTGATGCAATCATCCAAGTTATCCTTGTTATTCTCTTTTACATGATTTGATTGTGAAGAACTTGAAGTACCATTCTGCGATTTTTGACTGTGCCAAACGTTTGATTGACTGCTCTTTCTCTTAGACATGATGATATGCACTAGTAGTAATTAGAATATAACATCAAGTATTTAAAATGTTTTGTTTATATGTCGTGTGTTGAATAGCATCAACAATCAGTCAACAATGCTTTTTGATGTTTGGTCTTATTTACATCTGACAGTTGCTTTCAAATATATCCACGAATACCAACGTGATAAAATAAAATGCAATAAATTTTGTGTTTCCTATAAATTTAAAAAAATATATTTGTATACATAAACAATTAAAAAATAATTAAAATGATATAATTATACATTTTTAAATAAAATAAATTAATTTATGTTACCTAAAAAATACGCATTTAAACCAAAAATAATATTCAGGAAAAGCAAATTGATATTTTACGTAACTTGCCTATAAATGAAACTACAATTAGTAAATATTTTAAAATTACGAATAAATAATAAAGATTTTCTTATATTTTTAATTAATTTTCAATGTATATTTCTTAATAATGTTATAATATAAGTAATCTAAAACTTCTTAAGAATTTAGAAGGATGAAAATAGTATCGTCGATGATTCAATCAACGGTAGATGCGAGTGCGTGAACGCAGGTAAAAATCTAGGGGGTCCTCAAGGCCAATCGTTCCCACTGTTACGCAATACAAAGGGGGGAAACACTTGTTGAGTATATTGTTACGATATCTAATAAATAAGCTAGACATGCACGGACATCGCTCAGTTAATAATTGTTATACATGAGGTTATACATTCCTGAATTCCAACAGGCTAGTGGGGTAAAAAATGTGGGTCAACTTTCTCTTCAATTTTACCCACTTTCTTTAAATCTTCCAATTAGTTGGCCAGTAGTAACTTTAGTCCCATACAAGTGCACCATTCCGAAATACAACGAAAAATAAATAAAAATAGGAAACGACAACAATGAATTTCTCGAAACTAAGTCGCGCGTTGCTGCAGAGGGACTTCACGAGAGTCCTTGCAGCCAGAAGTGTCCATCTCAACGGATTCGTACTCAGTTCAGACAGACGACAGACTTTGAGCCACGGACAGAAACCTGATTGGAATAGGGCCGTTAGTGAAGCGGAGAAGATCGTCGGATATCCAACTTCCTTTCTAAGTCTCAGATGGTTGCTCAGTGATGAAATCGCCAATGTTGCATTGCACCTCCGGAAATTGGTTGGTTCCAACCATCCGCTACTCAAAACAGCTAAGTAAGTTTCATATGACCATAGAAATAAAATCTAACTAATACTAAGCAAGACATTTCCACGATCCTTTCTAAAATTATCATTGCATTACAATATGCTATATTACATATGATACGATTTTTCGAGGAAGAGAAATTGTCGAACTGAAATCCCATTGTTTTTCGTTTCAATTATGGAAGAGAAACTATTGTGTTGTGTTGAGCTGGAACAGCCGCGACGAAAATGTTGAACAATTTAGAAAGTTCCCACTTTTTGAATATTCTACAGACAAACAAATATAATTGCCTGGAATAATGTCAAGTATCCACTAAATTACAAAAATAAACATTGTTTTTGTATCCTTGGGAACATGCTTTAATATAACATATTACACTCAGGCCAAAACGATTGCTTCATAATAAAGTAATCAAGTTGTTTTCTTAGTATTTTTTGCAATTGACTGATGTAACATAAGAAAAGACGTATATTTTAGAATAATTTATTACAAATTTACAGTTTTTTACGCACTAGAAACATTCAGTCGTCACATACCTATTAGTATTTACAGTTTGTTTTACTCCCAAATTTATTATGGTTCATGAGTTCAGTTCCAAAAAACTGCTTTACAATATAACTAAAATTTTGAAAACAGCAAATAAAAATAGTTTTATAAATATAATTCTAATAAAGTTGGTGAAACTTTTTTAAAACAATGTAATTTAAGTACAATTATTATTAATCATATGTAAACAAAAAGTTTAACTTATAATAAATATTGTCATTATGTTAATGATAAAAAAATAAGAATTTAATGGAAGTATTTTAATAAATACAGTTTTCATTTGTGATAATGTGAATGATAATCTGCCCCCAGAAATTTTTTCGTTGACGCCTATGGACTGAGTGAAAAGTCAAATATCTTACGTCAATTATAACCTTTAAACGTTTAAATTTTTCTTATACATTTTTTAATGATATTGAAGCAATTTATAACAATTGTGGGAAAAATATTGAAATTTTCATTCAATTCTACTTGAATAAAAATTTCAAATATGCTTGGCAAGTTAATTTGTAAAGTATGCCTAAATTATGTCATAATATCACGTATTATTCTAAATTGCTTCAAGAATTATTAAAATATGTATAAGAAATGTATTGGCGTTTGAAGTTTGTAATTGACTTAAGATATTTGAGGTTATTCTCAGTCAAAATCAGTGGCGTACATAGCAACAAAACTATTATTTATAATTAATGACCCACCGGTGGGTCATGCCGTCGTCAATGTGTTAAGTCGAATAATAAAGTTATTGTATAATTATTATTGCTCGTAATTAAACGATTGAAGTTGCTAAACAAACTTGAATTGTATAAAATATATCTTAATTCTCGTATTTCTACTTTAAGTATTTATTGAACTTTGGAATAACTGTTTGAGGTTTATTTTATTTAATCAAATTTATTCAAATATTTAAAAACTTGCGATTATTTATTACCCAATGGGGAGTTTCTATATACGATATAAGAATAATTAATGTTTTAACTTTTTTTTAAACAAAATATAATTGGAATTTTCTTTTTTACTGATGTATATTTTGTTTTAGGGGTCTACTTTACAATGGAAAAAATAATATGCAAGCCTGGGGATTGATTGTCTTGTTGGTGTCCAAAGCAGCTGGTCATACAGCCGACATTCCCGATTTGGAGCAGGACAAGGCGGCTGGAGTATTGCACTCGCAGAGAGCTTTGGCGGAGGTGACCGAGATGATCAGGACAAGTCATTTGGTCCATAAAGGCATGGTCAACTTGCAGAAAAACACCGAGGAATCTGGAGACATGGTTTTCGGTAACAAAATTGCACTGCTCAGTGGCGATTATTTATTGAGTAATAGCTGTTCGGAATTGGCCGGTCTGAGAAACCAGGAATTGGTCGAGCTGATGAGCTCGGCCGTACGCGATTTAGCTGAAGTCGAGTTTGTTGGACCACGTGATAAACAGAACAACCCACTGCCCGCGAAGCCCAACCTTGAGAAGGTTCACCAAGTGACACAACCATGCGAGAACGGTATCGAGCCGTTGGTCGTGAGCGACGCATTGGGGAATCCCCAGGCCGAATGGACTTTGAGACACGTCTTGAATGGAGGCAGTTTGCTTGGAAAATCTTGTCAAGGCACATTAAAATTGGCCGGACATCCTCTCGTTCTCCAAGAACAAGGTTACCTCTTTGGAAAACATTTGGCATTAGCTTGGCAGGCGTGTCTGGACCGTGAACCTTTTCTTCCGAGTTCTTCGGGACCGTTCAGTTTGGTCTCTGCCCCGCTCATGTTCCAATTGGCTCATGATCCGAGCTTCTATTCCGAAATCGAAAAGGGAAAAGATTCTGTCGATGACGTTGATTACGAATTTATAAGGAAAACGGTGATGACCGGGCCTGGATTAGAGAGGACAAGGACATTACAGAGAGAACATTCGGCTGCAGCCATTGATGTACTTAACCAGCTTCCACACTCCGATGCAAGAACTGCTTTAGCCAATATCATAGCTGCTATGGAAGATTTATAAAAAGAAACATGACAAATCATTCAAAACGACTGAAAGACATGGATTTTTGTTATTGAAAAATTCTTTATTTATTTGTTTTTATTTAAACGATTAACTTTATTTTACAATTGGCAACTCGTGTATGCAGTTTATGTACATATGTATTAGTTGTTATATATATATATATATATATATACAATACTTGTGTCAAATGGATGTAATCTTCACTTAGTTGGGTTAACACGGGTAATTAATGTAGATTTCTCTTGTCCAAAGCGCGTTAAATTCAATTTTGGGGCTGTAAAGACGATTTAGCTAGAAAGAACAATGTTTTTATTACTGTTTATTGCATATTTTATATTTATTTTATATACACGTTTAGTTATTAAGTAATCCGGTGCAATGTACTTTATAATTTTAGGTCTATTCTAAATGTTACCATTTATAATTTTGACCAAATTGACGTCCTAGGATCAAAGATTTATATACATTTATATTATTATTATTGTTATATATTCCTCTTTAAAATGTATGATCGCCTGTCTTTAGTCATCGACGATATTTCTTATACGAAACATATTTATATAGAAAAAAAAAACAATCCCATACAATAATTGCTCAAACAAAAAATTATAAATAAATGCAAATATATTAATTTAATATGCTAAAATCTGTAAATTGCTTGCATCTGTTGTTTTATATCTATGAGGTCCCTAGTGGCTGCTTCATATTACGTAGTATCGTGCGCAGTTCTATTTTTTTCTTGCCGAACGTGGGACATCGTGCTTTGGCGTGTGGATTATTTTGGGTAATACAATTCTACTAATAATCATATTAACTGTTATAGTCAATCCTCAGCAATGAATTTTGTAATAACTAATTTTGCAGGAATGTGATTTATCATATATTCGTATCATAACTTGTTTTGTTATATCTTCTATCCAGTTTGTGTATTGATTAATTTGTTATGTAATACAGTTTTCTATTGCTTCCATCTCGTCAGTACGAAAGCACCACGAGAGATGGCGCAACTGTATTGATCAGCGTCAATTTCAATTGTTCTAAATTGTTATAGTCGCTTGTATCACAAAAATCTAAGATTGAAATCTGATACGATAAAGTTGGTTCGAACTTCAAAAACTAACAAAACATTGTGGGAGCCCGCCGAAATGGATAGAAAAATATCCAAGAGATGTATATAAAAAAAATGTTCACAAGCGGTAGTCACCAATCTTTTTGTCCTCACGGACCACTAAACTCAAAATATTGAATCACGTGGACCACTAAATTTAAAATTTTTAATCTTGCGGCCCACTACCATGATTTTGTTCCATAAAAATAGGATTCTAAATATTAAATGCAATGTAATAAGGCGAAAATTGTAAAAAAAAAGTAGAATCAGAATACAGTGGAACCTCGCTTAACGAGCACCTCGCATAACGAAAATTAACGATTGTATAAACAGAAGTTGTTATGTTTAATTGAGAATCTAACATGAACACTAACAACTCGTTAACCGGTTTTTAGATAATACCATTTCAAACACTTATTTTTTTTTAGTTGGCATTTATATTTATTTGAAGTAACTACTAAAGTAAAATAAATTATTGATAATATAGAATTTGACATTTAATTTATAGTTTTACAACTACATTTTTGTGGTTAAAAATTAATGAAAATATAATCATTCCTCATTATGTGATGCACATTAATTAATCATAACAATTAGTTTCGTTAATAATTAGTAAATTGAGCATTGAACACAGACATGCAGATAGGATGCTCCGTGTACGGAGTACATTTAATTAAGTAGTTAGTGGGCAATCAATATTCAAGAGGAGATTCGATAAATATTTTGTGTTTCATGTTTGTGCAATGCATAGTAATATAAATCATACATAACTAATGAAATATCAATTGACAATGTTAATTTTGTATTTATTTATAAAATATATATTAAACAAACTTGTAACTTTTAAAATTATATTACACTATATCTTATTATTGTTTTATTTTTGAACTGAAAATTGTATTATTAATAAATTATTTTTGTATTAAATATATAGTAGTTGTATTCTTTACAGTTTATGTTTAATTTCAGATTTAAATACTGAAATGTATCAGTAAATCATGATGTCTTCAAAGCTTTTTCGTGTGACTCCAACGTACTGTATAATAGCGCATCGCTATATGCAAGCTGTACATCCTACCAAGTTCGAAATATCACCAATGCATAAAGAGAAAGTGAATAGGAATAGCATCGTGAGACAAGCGGAAAAGGTTGTAGGATATCCGACATCATTTTTGAATCTTAGATGGATACTGAATGATGAGGCAGCAAATTTGGCTATGCATCTTAAGAAACTCATAGGAACCAAACATCCTTTACCGAAAATAACTAAGTATGTATAATTTCATATATATTAACTCTCATTGTTATTTGAAAGGCAGAGCTTGAATTAATGCATGTCCTAATTTAAAATATTCAAACATTTTATTAAGTATATTGTTAACTAATTGACGATATTCATTGAAAGATTTCATGTAGCAAATCAAATTTACCAAATACTATTATTATATTATGATTATGTTTAGCTTTAATGTTTAATCAAATTTTAATTAAATATATTTATTTTTGAGCATATTCATATGTAACATTAAAAAAAAAATCATCGTTTCTGCATTCACCAATTTAAATAAAGTATGTTTGCATTATTGCAACATGATATATATGTTGCGGTGACATGAGTATTTGAAATGTTTCATTTTGTAATATTATATTTATATATTTTTACTATAAGTGAGATGCTTTGTTTAATTTCAGAAACTTTTTATTTTCAAATGATTTGCCCTCGTTGGGATTGGTAATCCTATTGGTATCTAAAATGGGTGGCTTGAATCCGGAAGCGGAGGAAATGGATTGCGATAGAACTGCTGGTCGGTGTTAAAAATGGCGTTTTATTAGGTATAGCATATTAATTGTATAAATTTGCTTAGGCATCCTGCACGGGCAAAGAGTTTTAGCTGAGGTGGCGGAAATGATCCGAACGAGCTTTTTGGTACATCGAAGCTTATTAAAAGTGGAGGCCGGAAGTGATGAGGCGGATGATCTGAGCCAAGGAAATAAGATTGCCCTCCTGACCGGAGATTACTTATTAAGCAAATGCTTCAACGATCTGGCTCTGATTAGGAATTCAGATGTGACGGATATTATTTCGACGGCAACACGCGATTGTTCTGAAAGCGATTACGTCGGTCCTTTCGATGAGAAGAACCGAGCCATCCCCGCCGAGCCGAATCCTGTATTTCGGGATGCTGCCGAATACTTTGATGAAAATTACCTCGATCCCGGACCGTACAAAGTGAATGAAATCCTTGGTAGTCCTCGAAACGAATGGGTGCTTAGGACTGTTCTGAGCAGCGCTAACCTCTTGGGAAAGTCATGCCAGGCCGCTATGATATTAGGTAATCACGGCGCCGATTTGCAGAACGCCGCGTATCAATTTGGGAAACATGTTGCGCTCTCGTGGCAGGCGAGAATCGACTATGACGATTTCTTCGCCAATTCCGGAGGGATTAATTTAGTCTCGGCACCGGTTATGTTGCATCTGGAAAAGCATCCGGAATTCTACACGGAAATTAAGAACGGATGTTACAACCCTGATGGCTGCGATTATAGCAATATTAGGCCGATTATACTAAATGGCACGGCTGTGCTGGAGACCCAAAATATGTGCAGGGACTACGCGAGACGAGCCTCCAAGAATCTTGACTCCTTCCCAGACGGCGACGCCAAAGATGCCCTGAAGAAAATTATCAACGCACTATGAACCATCCAGAATCTCTATTCATACAGTCTTATGTTAATTTTATACCAAAGTTTTTTTTTTATATTAGATCCATTACAAAATAAATTGAGTAATTAAATTATTCATCTATATTACTTAAAGTACAATACATTTGAATAGACCAAATGACTGTAGTTACTTAAAATATATTTAAATTGGAAAAATATTTAGTACGCATACAGTAAACTCATATCATCCAATCAATCTCAATGCGCTTTCATGACACATTTGAATAGCTCTTACACTTCTGTGCCGGTTGTATCGTTCTAGAAAAGTTAAATATCGTTACTTTGGTGGTACTGGTCTAATAGTGGAGGCCTCGGGCTAACATTGTTCGAGGGCCCCCAATTAACAAAGTTTGGGATAGTTGTATTTATTGCAGCCTATAAAGAAAATGCCTAAATCTGCCCCTTATTACCTACCAGTTTGTCCTACCTACCATGATCAGTCAATCTGATCGGTTCAAAGATTTACGATATTTACAGTAGTAAAAGAGTAGGCCCAATATCCAATATTCAACAGCAAAATTATCATCTTCTACACATTTATTACATTATCTTTGTCAACATATTCGAAACCTGTTAATTAATAACTTTATTTCTCATATTTTTAATATTGTTTTTGTTCTTCTAATATAACTTTTGATTTTAACTTAATTTACGTCAAACTTATTTGCGTTTGTTTTTTATCCAATATTTGTTTTCAAAAGTATTGAAATCACATAGACATAATACAAATATTACAAATAATATATTATTGGAGATTAATAACCATAACAAGTTAGATTTAATTAAATTTTCTAATTTCTCATCTACAAGACTGTTGTACCTCCAACAAATTACTTTAATTGTTCTTTGAGAAAGTGACTGAAAATTAAAAACAGATGCTATTATATATACTTCAATAGTTTTTTTAAATATCTGTATTACAGATTTAAATATATATTATTTAGAATATATCCTTTATGTATATTTATATCCTTTTGGCAAAATTTTAAAAATATAGTTTAATATAAAACAAATTTAGAGGTTGCAAGATGCAAGAAAATTTATATTCAGTATTTCAATTATAATTATAATAAATATAATTTATTTCATATACGTTCCTACTTACAAACAAACTGCCATGGACCGCATTCTTATCGCCAATTTAAAATTTATTTTTGTATGTTATCAAACTTAAACATGCATTTTGAACTTCCGTTTTAGATTGCGTTTATTTAAAATATAAACAATGTTTAAAATTTTACATCTTATGGTAATAACAAAAAAAATAACTATTAATAACTATAATATTAATACAGTGGCATGGTAATCGATGGTGTAGCGAACCAGGATTGTGGACACTTGGAAACTAAGACCCAAACTTTTATGATTTGTTTTAATGATCGTTTACGGATCCATTTGCTTCTTGCTACACCTTTGAATACATTCATTTGTTTGTAGCAGTTGTATTTGAAAAGATATTTTTGTTCTTCTAAAGTGCCATATGGGAAATCAGTTACGCAACTAAGTACTACCCGTATATGTTACTAAACTTTTATAAGCTTACTTAATTTTTAATGAGCTTATCTGGTAGAAATGTTTAATGATAAACAAATTACTACATAAAATGGACATAAAGCAAAACAAAATATGTATGTACGTGCACATATATGCGTAATACGTAATTTTCTTACTATAAATAATTTAGTGATTCAGATATATGCATATATCTGTGATAATTGATTACATACTGCTTAGCATAAACAGTATAATTTATTTTCTATATTATGTTAAGCATCAATAGACTTTACAGAGATTTTAATATACTATTTGTATTCCTAGCATTACGCTAAACAAATGTACGCTTAGTTGTTGAGCATCCCATGTGCATGAAGGTAATAAAATATAAGTTATATATTATTCTATAATACTACAAATTTAATTGATTGATAAAAATCAATTAAAATTTAAAGTTATTTTAATAAATAATTTCTATCAATGCATGTATATAAAAAAAAAACCTTGAACTTGTTTCATTGTCAATAATAATTTATGTATGACATTGCAGTTTTCTACTTTTCTAATTCAGTTTACTATAGTGTTTCTAAATACTACGATAAAAATATCCAATTTACGGTTATTTTCGGTTTCTTCTAATATCCTGGACTGTTTGAACCCGGAAAAAATATGATTTACTAGCCGCACAAAATGAGACTTGATTGTAAGAAACGAGAATGTATGTATAAATAAATAATTGTGTGTATGATTTTTGTAGAACCAATTTTTATTTAATCATTAAAAATTCAGTGTGTTTGAAATTTTCAAACAGTAAAATAGTCAATCCGGATTGATCGAAGCCGCACTATTCGAGGTGTTGCTGTACAGAAAAAAAATGTTTTATTGTTTCTATCAATGAAAAAGTATAGACTGCTATGAGAGAACATATAATTACGAGACATAATAAGTTATGCAATCGTATTTATACAGTACATGAGGAAACACAAATAGTATAACAACAAAATCCTGAAAAATATTTAAAATTCGAAAATTTACAATTTCTTTTTTCAATTCAATTAAAATATTTTCTATTATATTCATTATATTATATTATTAGTTTTTTATTGTTTGTTAAGTTTTATATTTATATTTTGTTATACTTAATTTTCAATAAACTTACTTAATCAATTGCTTCCTAAAATTTACACTTTACAATTTGCACTTTGTTTTCTTATCGACAATTAATCCGCACAAACTAAATAGAAGTGTTATGTTTCTTTAATTCATGCTAAAAGCGCTTATTTATTCCATTTATCAAAACTGATGTATTATTAAGTTTTGCGTAATATCTACTTATTTTAGCATTTATTCTTGGTCGTTTCTTATAAATAGTCGTGCTGCATACATTGAAATTACTTCTAAGTCTGAAACTAAGCAGTCTATAATCTGTTTACATTATAGTGTATAAAGCGATAAGATATTTTTATTTACATGCTGCTTATCGCTATGAATAATATCTAAAAGTAAGGTTAAGAAATCATTTACTTATAATACACTAGACATGCATCATAATAAATAAATGTTATAAGTTCAACTATAAACACACTTCTGGTGTTCTATGAGTGAATCTAAATAAAAGGTTACCATATCAACATATGAATATAACGTTATTATAAAGCCTGTTGTATTTATTTCTATTAGATTATCCAAATATGTTACAAATGTTTACAAAATTCTCACGAGGCGTAGTGTTGGTACGCGAATTGAGACGATGCGATGTGTTCGTACGCGAAATAAATTATTTTAATGTGAATAACGATTGGAAAAAAGTTACGAAGGAGGCGGAAAATATTGTTGGATATCCTACATCATTTTTGAACCTCAGGTGGATACTCAATGATGAATTTGCGAGTCTGGTGGGCCATTTCAGAAAACTCATTGATACGAATCATCCCCTTCCACAAATTGCAAAGTTAGTATAATATGTGTATATATTTCTTGAAAAATATTTTTTTGTTACATTAATTATATGCTTTCTTCAGAGATTTATTCTTTAAGAATGATTTTCCATCATTTGGATTAATTATACTATTGATATCCAAAGCCGGAGGGGTCAAACAAATCGCAAAAGATATGGAAATGGATAGAACTGCAGGTAAATTGAGCTACAAATAAATTAATACAATAAATTGATTAATTATATTTTAGGAATTATGCACGGTCAGAGAGTTTTAGCCGAAGTTGTCGAAATGATACGCATGAGTTTTTTGATACATAACTCTGTAATAGCAGTAGATGCTAAGTGCGCAGATGAGAATAACCTGAATTACGGCAACAAAATTGCATTGCTGACCGGTGATTACCTGTTAAGCAAATGCTTCCATGACCTAGCACAACTCAATAACTCAGAGGTTGAAGAATTGATGTCCTCGTCGTTCAGGGACTGCGCGGAATGTAATTTCTTAGGCGCGCTTCCCATGAAACACCTGCATCAAAATAATGTTAATTATTTTACGGAAAGTAATATATCTATTGGACCGTACAAGCTTCAGGACGTTCTGGGAAGTTATCGTGACGAGTGGATTTTCAGGACAATTTTACATTCAGGCAATCTTTTGGCGAAAGCATGCAAATCATCATTAATTTATGGAAATCATGACGTGCATTTGCAAAATATTGCGTATTTATTCGGAAGGAATCTTACGTTAGCCATGCAAGCGAAAAAGGACTGCGAGGAAATTTTAAATGCATCGGACAAGATTAATTTATTATCGGCACCTGTTATGTTATATTTTCAAAAACAACCACAACGTTATGATGACATACAGAAGATATCAGATCAATGTGATGATATTCATAGTTTTAAAAATGAAGTATTAAATTGTACGGTAATTGAAGAGACCAGAGAAATGAGCATGGACTTTGCAAAGAAAGCTGCAAAGAATCTTGATGATTTCGATGATAGTGAAAGTAAAGAATCACTATTACAAATGATTGAAGTTTTAATAAGACAAGATGTTAAGTAAATATAATTAATATTTAATAGAATTATTAGATAAATTAAATATATATGTATATAAATAATAATATTTTAGTTATAAATATTTTATTTGCAATAATTACTTCCATTCCTTACTTTTCATGTTAATTTATTTATTTGTCATATAGTAAATCTAAAGAAAATCTTTTGAAGTCACATAATATTTTAACTGATAACCAGATGACAAATCAGAACAGTGCCAAAATGTAACATCCGAAAAAATGTTAAGTAATAATATATAAAGTAATGATATATAAGTAATTTTATATTTAAGCTTTCTTACCAATTTTTTTGTTTATTATCTATTTTTAATAGAACTTCAATTTTATTTTTCGTTATTCTGTTTTGTTACCTTTATATAGAATTCTGCTTATAATGACAATATATTATTAATCAAATATATTAATATGAATATACATAAAGAGCAATGTCATCTAATAAAAAGTAAACAAATAACAAATGTATTCTATATTATTTTTAAATATGTGAAATATATTTGTTTTGTATAGTATTTTTTATATTTATAAGTTTGGCGTATTGATCATTGTTTTTATTTAAATGGTGACAGCAAATAATTGAATGTTATTCACCATTGGCATTACTGTATAGTACTTGTCATTTGACAGTAAATATTGACAATGTTTGGAAATATAGTAATTCGGTGTTTGTTGCGGAATATGAGTATATGTAGGTCGTATTTTCAAGATGCGAAATATCTAAAGTCGAAGGACATAGTGAAGGAAGCGGAGAAGATTGTAGGATACTCGCCGTCCTTTTTAAATTTACGCTGGTTGTTCAGTGACGAGATTGCCAACATAGCCATTTATTTGAGAAAGCTTACTGGTACAAATCACCCTATCATGAAAGTTGCAAAGTAAGTTACATTCATTATGCCGCATACAAATTTATGATAATTGAAAACCATTTCAGAGATTGCCTATTGAAAAATAATAGAAATCCGTGGGGTTTAATAGTGCTATTGGTATCGAAGCTTGGCGGATTAGCGGTAGGGACGGAAGTTACAGAGCGTGACATAACTGCGGGTAAAATCAATTTCCTCCTTTTTTAACGTCGGATTTGGGTGGTAATTATAAGCATGTGCTTAAATGTAATGCGATGAATTTTGAGCAGGTATTTTGAGGGAACAGCGCGTCCTAGCTGAAATCACCGAAATGATGCGGACTAGTGTGTTAATTCACAAAGGGATCGTATTAGTGGATGAAGGAGATGAGAGCGCGGATGTACTGAAATATGGTAACAAAATCGCGTTACTCAGCGGTGATTATCTGCTCAGTCGGTGTTACAGTGATTTAGCTGGCTTGAAGAACCAGGACGTTGTCCTCTTGTTCTCTTCCGCGTTAAGAGATTTGGTCGAGAGCGAATTTTTCAAGCCCCTCCCGGCAATGCCGAAAGAACTTAATGATGATATGGCTGAAGATGTGCTGGAATCTAGAAATCTTGAAGGCGTTTTTGGGAATGCAAAGAATGAGTGGATTTTGAGAAGTTTGTTGTCTGGTGGTAGTCTTCTAGCGAAAGCGTGTCATGGAGTTTTGATGCTGGCGGGACACGAGAAGGATAAGCAAGATATAGCTTACTCATTCGGACGTCACTTAGCTTTAGGTTGGCAGGCTGGACTGGAGGTAGAAGAATTTGTATATGACGGGAAAGTGAATGTAGCGTCTGTACCAGTGATGCTGCATTTGTTCAAAAATCCAACATTTTACGAAACTCTGATGGCTATGGATTTGGAGAGAATTAGAGAAGACGTGAGGAATGGTAGCGGCATAGAGGATGCGGTTGTGTTGAAGCAGGAATTCCTTCGGAAGGCAATCGATGATCTGCGTGGATTCGATGATTGCAATGCAAAATGGGCCCTGGAGAGTATAATTGTTAATTCTCTGTGAGTTAAATTTATTGTTTCCGTTTTCGTTGTGATTTACTGCCGCGTTGGACGATTTGAAAACAAATTGAGAAAAATCTGCATTCATTTCTTTTTTGATTATTTACGACCGGGGAACAATATTGTCCCACGCTGTGATCTCCCCCCGTTTCGGACTTGAAATTTTTATTGTTTTGGCGCTGCGGCGTTCGAAATTCATATTTATTTTCTATATTTCTATTTTATATATCATATATATATAATTCGCTTTTCATCTCTCGGCCAAAAAACGTCAGTCGGACATAAAAATCTTTTATATATGGCACATACATAGGCCATTACTTATTCCGAAAGATCGAGGAGGGAATGGGAATGGGTTTGGGTGGTTGCGGGCATGACTTTTTCCTCCTCAGTTCCTCTTCCATTGTTTCCCTTTTTGCCGAGCCGGAAGAGACCGATCCACTCCACAATTTATATGGTTTGTCAACTATTATTACATTTGCATAAATTTTATTGTTTTTCACAAATAACAGTGTGAGTAACGACCGTCTCGAGGTAACTTTTGCGGATAATAAATTTCGACAGCTAACTTCTAAACGGAGACCAAAACAACACTTCATTTTTATTAAAGGAAGTTCACAGAATCCACTGGAACAATAGTAATAATAATCTTTATTGTCTTTTGCAACTTTCTTTTCTTATATAAATCCGTCACTAAACATTCACCTTGAAAGAAGTATTTTTCCTGTACTTTTTATACAATATTTTTTGGTAATCATGGACAAACACGTAAAAACTTCCGTTTGTCAATAATTAATAACAGATTGCATATTTTCTAAAAAAAAAACAACAACAACAACAACAAACGTGTTTTTTAATATAATCATCTTTGATATTTGACATTTACGTATAAATCATAAATTATATTTCACAAATTCTTACAACATTTAATTATAGCTGCAATGAGATTAGTGAAGTAAGATGAAAGAAAATTTCTTTCTACTACGTTTATATTTCTTAACCTTTTAATTTTAATACCATTATATAAACATTATTATAATATCATTTGTTTTAAGATAAAATGGACTTGGTAAGTAGTTAAAATAGATTTATGGGTTAAAAACAATTGATTAATATAGGATAAACAACTGAAAATAATAATTAACAATTTATACAAATAAGAAAAAAAAATGCAAAATAATTTGTAATTATATTTTCCAATTATTTTTTTGTTGTTTATATTTACATATTATAGTAATATAATTTTGAATGGAGATTCATGATATTAACTCAATTTCCCGTTTGATGTTTACCAATATTACACAATTATTAATATTACTAGAATAAAAAATCTATACGTTAAATCCACTGTATTTTTATTTTAGTAAGACTTATGATATAGAATGGTCGATGGTTTGTTGACCTAACGAACCTAATCCAATATTTTTTTATGGGACCATAAATAAATATTGTTATTATTATTTTAACTTTAAATTGCAAGCATAAATTCATAATGTTATAAGTAGTTCGAAAGTATATTCAATAGCGAGCACGTGATTTGCCAATAAATCTTTTTGCTTAAATTAGCATTTTAAAAAGAGCACCGCTTGCACAAAACCACTCGATCCCGTTTATTATTATTATTTCTTCTCATAGCAAAAACTCAATCTTATTAATTTTATTGCCGGCATTGCGGACCCATTTTTCTTGTCGTAAAATTCCAACCGCCGCTAGAAAATCGACGCGTTTTCCCCAAGATTTGTCACTAGAAGAATAACAAAAGAATAAATGAACACAAATTGCACGCATCCTTTCGCCTTGATTAGGGATTGCTAATGTATTAAATAATTATTTTAATTACTGGATATGTTCGTGTGCGTAACACATTTATTACGCAATAATGGATGATGTGTGTAAGTGGAATGAAAGACAATGTAACGAAATCTATAGTTATCAATTTGGGTATGGAGTGATTGGATTTATGGGTTGTATTATGTCGGGTAAAGATGGTTTTGATATATTGTGAGTGAAATAGATAGAAATAGATATGTAGATAAAAGGAGAGATGGAGAGAGATAGGGAGACAAAGGCAGTCCGGCGATGCAAACATAAAATGGCGGAGAATGCCATAAATAAAAGAATTTACGTTCATGCAAAATGTTTGTTTTACGACGAATTTTAGGACGTGATACATACATTATGCATATGCCTGGGCGTGTTCTGCCTCAGATATATTAACATTCGCGACCATTTAAACTTTCCGACCTGTGCAACGACATCAGCAGTATTAAATAAAATACAATTAACCAAATTGGGTCTCGTGAATCTCTACAGAGAGACGGATATATCTTCGCTCTATATGTTCTCACGCGCTACAAGATGGAATTCTTATTTATGGATTTTAACATGCGAGACTCGCAAATCGAATATCAAAAAAACTTCTGCTATCTTATATAAGTTTTCGATATCTTTAAGTTATAAATAATGAATATAAATCTGAAAAGGCTCGGACGTAAAACAAAGAATATATTTATCTAAAAGTATTATTTTTGTATGGCATAATTTATTTATTGTATAGATTGTATTTATTTTTATTTTGTTATTTCGTCTGAAACCTTTGCTTCATTTTCTATTGCGAATGCGGATTGTTTCAGTGAAAAGCTGATAACTGTTACTACTATACATGTTCAATAAAATAAAAAATAGTTTGTTCAATAATATTAAATATAAAGAATGAATACAGTATAATAAAAAAAACTAAATATTAGGATGGCTAGCAAAAAGAGACAAACTATTCATTTCAATAGAACAGGTAGATAGCAATTATAAGCTTACAAACATTGCTAATTCGTTATTATAGCGCGAAGGATCACCAAAAGGACATAAAGTATAAGAATTTTCTAATTAACGTTTTTATTTATTAAAGCAAGTACATATTTAGGCATGGATACACTGTCACTATCCTTTCTTTTATAATTAATTCTCCGACCATTTAACTTCATATTTCACACTTAAAAAACATTTGATTAAAAATAAATATATTTTTTATTTACTATAATCAGGAATTTTTCATAAAGTTTTCTTGATTTGATTTGATTAATTTCCATTTTCTCTCCTAACTGTATGTTTCTAATTTAAATATTTTGATATTATATGTTTTAATTCGAGCATTTTTTTTGCTTTCTCATTAAAAATTGTCCAACATAATTTCCTTCACCTAAAATTTTGTTTATAGCCTCTTCTTTTCTCGGCCATTTGAAAATTCCTCCATTCGTTTTTTATTCAGTTTATTATTCGCTTTCATTGATTTTATAGCTAATCCAACTAGACTAATACTTATGAACAATTTTTCTGCTTTCTAATTGTTTTGTACATATTTCCCTATGATGCCGATGCGAAGGTCATATTTGGTAGAATTGTGCCTTGATGCCACACAGAAGTTGGTTGATATCCCTCATTCATTCATTCTTAGTCCCAATATTGTGGCTGTGTGCATCTTAGAATCCGATTTCCCGATTTTTTTTATGGAAGTTTCTAAAACAACATTCTTAATGCATCTTTGTTCAATTCAATATTATTATATGCTTATCATACTAAATAATTTTGTATCATTAAGAGAATTCGAAAAGAGATTATTCTTTTTTGGACTAGCTTTCAATTCTGCATTAAGTTCTTTTTAACTAATACTCTTCGTGAATTGGCATTGAGCTAAAATAAAAAAAGAGAGGTAGATTTTAGAATATCAATTCAGGAATTCATAACCAACGATTCACTAGGGAAATCTATGTAAACGAATTCATGGATAGAATTCTTACATTATTATGGAAAAAAGGCGACTTAAGGGATTTTGGATATAAATTTATTGTTGTTTAAAGAAATAAAATGTTTGAGTTTTCAATAAAAATATGAATCCTTAATATACATGTTCTAGGCGGAAGTTAATGCTTCTATAAACATTTATCCAGCTGTGATTAATCAAATTAATTAGAAATAATGGAAGAATTCAATTAGAAGGATCCAAATATAACGTTCCAATTTTAGTGTATGTATTGCCGAAGCAAGTACTCCAAATATAACGACATTTACTGCAAACGTTTTGGTTATAAGAAGATAAGAATTAACCTTTTTGAAATTATTGTAAAATAAATAAATAAATATATTGAGAAATGCCGAAATAACTGTAAAAAATCCAAATAAACGTTAAAAAAAACATTATATATAAACGAATCATTATCTTAATATTTTTTATCTTGTTTAATTTCATACGTTTTGGATGTAGTTATTTATGTAATTATAAAATTGTTCCAATAAATATTTTTATTATTAATTTTATTATCAACTATGACCTCTTTTAGTTCGATTCCACTTTGAGGTTTCTTTATTATATAAAAGTTTGATGCCTTTCGGCTATTTACAGTGATTGTCTTCTGTTCCTGGCCGAGTCCGAGTCCGCTTTGTTATATATCGGGTTAATAAGAAGTATTTTTTTTAGTTGTTATTGCTAACACATATTATAAACTTGTGATACCAGACTTAAGAATTGCCAAAAGAACTGCAGCAGTGGAGTATTGAAAGAAAGACATTTTACATATATACAAAAATATTTAAATTATGGAATAAAATATTGAAAACATAAAAAATATAAAAAAGTTATTTCTCAATTTTTTGGAATGGATACGAGAAAACGAAATATGAGTGATGTAAGGTCGGTAGAAATTCCACCACCAACACAGCAAGAAATTTGTTTTGCTATCCTCTTCGGATTTCGACGTCAATTGAAGCCTATGCAAGTTTTGGAGGAATGCCAAAATGCTTATGGAGTGAACATACCATTACTTATGACCATTTCCAAGTGGTTTCGAAGATTCCAAACCGGGCATTTTTCTGTTGAGGACGAATCACGTGATGGTCGCTCGAAATCTTTCACCGATTCAACTGGGCTTGAATGCCATGGCTGTGTCGAGAATATTAAGACACGTGTTCGTTTTGCCCAATATTTCTTAGAAAAAATTGAAAATGGAGTCT